ATGTTACTTGTTGTTTGGCGAATCGCATAAAGGTTAATATTCTTAAGTGGAAATATCAACATGCGATGGTTTGGTTCGTGTTAAGCTATTTACTTGAATTGTGTATGTATGTATGTATTGTGTGAGGAGGATTCCTGCCCATTGTGGCAGGAATCCAGCCTCGCAGGTCACCATTTGGACCTGGGCAAATACCTCGCTTTACTTACTTATTTACTCTTAGAAATCCTGCGTTAATCTAGACATGAATGTCTAGAAGTCACGCTACGTGGTTTGTCGACTGGGAAGACCCAGATTGTGATGCCTTTTGGATATATTGCAGGACTAGGTGAGTGTATGTTAAGCGTACCAGGGTTTTATTTCATGTCCCAACTTGCGTCAGTCACACCCACCCAAAGGAATCACGACTACTAAAACTGCCGCAAGCAAACTCTCGCCAGAATTCCAATTTTTATCCAATCTTGATTAGGTATATTTAAATTTTTCTGGTCCTAAATAGGTACATAGTACATGTATATGTACAGTGGGTTGCCAAAAGTATTGGTGGTCAATTTTGTGCTCGGTACCGTGCACGATATTTTTGCTAAGGGATAACCACGGACTAATTTTAAAGGCATTTTTTACAACCAAATAAATGGACAAGAAAATAGTTCAAACAGAATTTGAAAATCTTACCCCGTTCGGGGGAAACTGAGAAAAAACTTCAAAAACGGCATAAAAAATTGTGACAAAAGTATTGGTGGTGGTATATTTTTTATATCTACAAGCCTTACACATTTGAATTATTAGTCGCAACTTTAGTACCATACTCTTGTATGTTCATTACACTGAAAATTTATTAAATATGGCCTAAATAGGCCAGTTGTACATCGCAGGGAGTATTGTACTAAAGTTGCGACTATTAATTCAAATGTGTAAGGCCTGTAGATATAAAAAATATACCACCACCAATACTTTTGTCACAATTTTTTATGCCGTTTTTGAAGTTTTTTCTCAATTTCCCCCGAACGGGGTAAGATTTTCAAATTCTGTTTGAACTATTTTCTTGTCCATTTATTTGGTTGTAAAAAATGCCTTTAGAATTAGTCCGTGGTTATCCCTTAGCAAAAATATCGTACACGGTACCGAGCACAAAATTGACCACCAATACTTTTGGCAACCCACTGTATGTCAATGCGCTATGAATCATCTATTAAAGAAACTTCGCAAAATTCCAGAGTAGCATTAACCTGATAAACACGGGAATTTACTCTGGCTTTTGGAACATATATTTTACTTAATATCCCTAAAATTATGGCTGGATTTAGTGTTCCTTAGGGTAAAATTATTTCGAAGAGTGAATTTTTTCTCAAACTTTTGAAACTATTTATTTTCAAGACCGTGAAACAATTATACATACATATGCAATTTCAAATATAGTGTGTTAATTTTTCTTATGAATTAATAAATATTTGGCCAACTCCTTAGGTATTAGCTTTAGAAGTATGTACATAGATATGAAATTAATCATTCATAAGTATGCATGTATTATTCATTAATAATATTAATTTTCATTAATCATATTAATTTAATATGATGAATGGAAATTTACAGACTTTCCCGTTAATAAATTCCCACTGTATCGAGACATTGAAACCATCCTGTAATGATCTTGCAAGTATGTATATATGTAAAACAAACGTGAACAGTCACGCTGATACTGACATCAACGCAGAAATCGTATGTCCCACTATCACATACTGATACGTACTTTTGGTCGAATTCCGCACAAAATACAGTTCATATCCGAACACACCAGAATAAATCCGGACTGCTTTCTCCGCCCTTAACTTTCTCTTCAAATACTTGACATCCTTACTCAACCCCAATGCCCTTCCCCACTTTCTCTGTAAAACCACGGCCCCTTCATACACCGCAATCATCATGGGCATCATGATATGAATAAAAGTCGGGATGACCACCCCCAGCACGGGGAACGTCAAATAAAGCGGCATCGGGATCACGTCGTACATTTTCAAGGTGGCAAAATTTATCGAAATACAACCCACAAATCCGGAAAACATCACTGTAGCGACGCAAACTGAGATCGGGTCGTGCATTATGTTCAAAATGCTGCGGAGCGTGTCGTATTTTTGCAGAATATGGGAGGAAATATGTTTCCCCAGAAATATTTGAGGAGCGGATTTTTGTAGCCAGGAAATTATGGAGAGGATCAGATGCGCTCCGACGATCAGACCGCAAAAGGAGTTTGAGCAGTAGCGGAAAAATTCGAGCCAGGCGAATACAATGAAGAGGAGGCGAAAGGACAAAATTATTAGATTTGTAGAGATCTCGGAGGAATCTGTGAAAAGTATTTGCAAAAATAGGAAGATAGGATCCATTTCTGTTCGGAGCAGGAAAATCGTGATGAAATAGGGGTAAATAGCGCAGAGGAGGACATGGTTGTTTAAAGAGATTCCGATAAAGTCGAATTGTTTTGGGAGTGGAGATATCCAGGATTCTGGGGAAAATATAAAGATGTGATTGATGATTTGTACGAATTTAAGAAATACTTAAGAGATTGAGTAGCGGTATGTCATTGTTTTTGTAATTTCAATTGCTTATGATAATTACAAAAAATTACTTTCGAGCAACCTCTACATACGCTTATTTGAGGTATTAATGACCGCATTTAAAACTTGATAACATCGTTAATTATGCGTGTCATTTTAACTTCAAAAATGCTGACAGCTTTGGATTAGTATTCTCAAACTTACGAATTTATCAAATTTTTAATTTGCTGGATCATTTAAGGAACTTTTGATAAGAGATTATGTAAGGATTTTTTGTGGTTGTGCTAGCAATTTTAATTACAAGTGTATTTATTGTAGGCGATCCATTTACCGTAAAACCTCTATTTATAGCCCTATTCTAATTATAGGCGGTCTCCAAATATAGCCGGGTCCGGAGACCAAGATTTCAAAATTTTAGCCGGGTCCCTATTTATGGCCGGGTCTCTAATTATGACCTGTCTTATCAGCTCTGTCCCCGTTCACAGCCCCTTAAAAAATGCTGTACATTCACGAATGAGGTAAAAATGTACAAAACTTTTGGCCAAGAATGCATTTAATAATGACAAAAAGACGTTTTATAATATTAAAAATTAGCCCGGAACAAAATTTAGCCGGGTCTCTAATTATGGCCGGTCTCTAATTGTAGCCGGGTCTGTGACCCCCAGTTTTGGATTTTAGCCCCGGCTATAAATAGAGTATTTGCGGTACATTAAAAATAAAAATCACAAAAATATTGAGGTTGAGCAGGACTCATTTTTTGTGATTGTGATCGTAATTTGGATTGTAGATGGATCAGCTACTTACTTACAATTATATTTACAATCAGAAAGAGCACGCTCTAACTACCTTGGTTCAACCTCTCCAATATCAAGCACACCAGAATTAAAATAATTTTACCAACCCAGTGTTAACCTCGTATTCAGGTCGTGAAGATGATTGAATGCCGAGACTAGTCTCACCCCCAGCGAGGAGATTAGTACGATTGCCATTAAGCATCCGTATCCACTCATCAACACAATAATTCCAAGCACCATCAAATTTGTTAATGGAATTGACACAAGTCCGAAGAGTTGTGCCAAGATGATGGTAATACTGGGTAGAAATAGTGCTATGAAAAGTGTCATGTTGGAAATAATCCAAAATTTTAGTTTCGTCAGGGGAACGTCATTATAAATCAATTTGCCGTCAGTGCCGCTAAAATCGACAGGATTGATCCAAAGGTATGCAGAAAACGTGTGAGATCGTGCTAGAGCTTTCCACATTAGTGGGGTGACGACCACCATTTTGAAAAATGAGGTTTTACCCGAGAGGAATATTTTGCCTTAAAATGTTTGGTCTTTTACCCTTTAAATTGACATCTAAAAAAGTCCATTTATTTGTCTACCTCACGTGGAGCGTTTGATTGGAAAATAACTCCGAAACTCCTGGATAGCTTTACTTTTGCAGAAGTGTATGCATGTATACAAAATTATGCCCCACTCCTCATCTAATTAAATAAGACATCCCTTTTCATGTTGATCAAAATCCAAACGTAAATAAAATAATTGTGAGCATTTGACTAAATACAAATAGATAACTACGCCTTATACATATATACATACATATATGTCATCATATGTACTTAGGTATGAACAGGACGCAAAATTTGTGGTAAATAAGTATGATGACGATAAGACCGATTTAAATTATTTATGCACTTGATTTTTGTGTATCCGGTTCTGCTGTGTGTGTAAATATGAGACTTCTTATTCCTTGTCGGTACATACAGCCAATGATAAAATTCTCTTTTACGTGTTCTTAATTTGTAAACGTTTCGTTTGAACGTAAACATTAATGAGGTGACCCACAACAAAACTTGGGCATAAATATTTAGTAGTCTCCACGTGCCATGCTTTCTACTTTTCTAGAACTTCAAAAATCCTAACAAATCCTTACATACTTGCCTCCAAAGTACTTAAATATTTACTACATTAGCGAAACAATCAGATAATACATATACTACAAAAACTAGGCGATGTCATTCTACTATTCATGCGTAAGCAAACATGAATGAATAAAAAGTTCAAACATTTCATAGTACACAAATATGTATTAAAATTGATACAAATGCAATGAAACTTGGAATAACTTTCTCCCCGATTGATCATAGTTTGTAACTGGTGAATTTTCATTACCAAAATGGTGTACTACATATATTACTACATATACGGTCATGTCCGTCATTACCGTGCCGGCGTATCTGGTGGTGGTGAGGAGGTGGTGGTGAGGAGTGGTGGTGGTGGTGAGTAATGATTCAGCACCATTTTGTTAATAGTGTATACATATATGCACATCCATCGATTAATTAGGTGTTAAGTACGAGAAAATGATATTAGAAAGGTATAACACGTGTAATAAAATGTTACAATTTACTTCACATTTTGTAAACATGTATTAAATTTTTCACCCATATTTAACAAATTAGGCGAAATAAAATGCCTGAAATTAAGTACATTTTTATCATTTAACTCCAAAACACAGGTTTCAAAATTACATCTTTATAATCCACGATACACGGCTAAAATTGAAATTATTTATAAATAACACGCAAAGTGATAACGATAAAAGAGCAGCAAAAATTATCGTATTCAATTCGGTTCTGCGATTCCGGAGGGGAATCTCGCTTAGTTTGAATCGCGCAGCGAGACAGCTTCGCTTCTTAAGGGCAGAGTCGCCAGTCTCACATTGCCCCGTTTTAACAGACATCCGCCAATTTTGCTTTTTAGCCTTCACTTGCATCACAGCTCCGATCTCGTGATCTTCGTTGATCATACTGATGGGAGCCCGTCCATTTGGAGCGTTCCAGTCCAACACGACCCCATCGAGGAGTTCCAGCGTGGGGCAAAGTTTGACCATATAGTCCAACTCGACGCCGTCTTCGTTGTCGCTCCACGAGGGCAAGATGATACTCAAAGGTTGAAATCGGATCAGCTAAAGACACAAATAAGGTCATGCTTAAATTTTGAACTGATTGAACACGTGGGTGGTTACGAAAAGGGGGCATATATTACGAGATTGTATCGCAAAATAATTTGACATAAATCTTTCAAAATTATTTTAAATACCAGTTTCGGAAACGAGCAAGTTTGCAAGTGATTTGCTTGCTTATCTTTTATGCTAAAGTTATGCCTATGCGAACTCATGAATACGCCTAATATACGACGGTTGTTTATTAAAATTTCCAGCCAAATGTCTAGTTAATAAATCCAAATGAGTATTTACCTTGCCACCCTTCCAAAGCCTGGTTTCGTCCCTGGTCTTCTCTCCCTCGTGGGTCGGGTGCGTCCTAATGGATGGTTTCCAAATTGTAACAGAATCTCCATCTGGTCCTTTAATCTCCTCAATATTCATGGACGTTGGACCGCGTGCTAAAAAATATGTAAGTATATATGTACAATAGTTTAACAAACTGAAGGTATGTATTCACAGCTGTTTTCGTTTCCATAGTTTCGTAAAATGTTAAGTATACGAAGAAAAGAAATGTACCAAAATTCGGGAAATGGCACCCCTAAAATGCGAGTTGAGTGATTTTTCAAAAAATCTTATACCACGCTTATACATAAATTCTCGTTACCGTCGTAACCGATTTAACGATACGAAGGATTAGAGGAATTATTAATAATATTAATAATTCCTCTAAGGATAATCCTTATTGAGAACTTAGTTAAACTCGTATTTTTAAATTAATAAGTTAATTATGTGACTCAGTTAACTTTCACTCACCTCCACTTTTTGATCGGATGACAAATCGCGGATCGTCCCACTCTTGTACGAGGACAAAGTTTAGGGATAACTCCTTTCCTTTTGTTATATTTGCTTCCACCTGGATCATGCTTATCGAAACCTGGGTGGAATTATTAGGCGGCGAGCTAGCATTATAGCCAGCCCAATGAGTCGCGTTCCACGTGACGCCATCACTGCTGATCCGAACCTCTGGTTGCATTGGTCGGAAGTAATGCAGAACGATGAAGGTTACGAGGACGACTTTTAGGACATTAATTTTGATGTCATTTTCACTCCACTTGGGAGGAGGAGTTGGAAACGCCGACATGTCAAATTTCTGCGATCGATCGAACGAAGAGTTGAAGTTTAGTGGAAATAATTCGGTTACGATTACATATAACTAGAAAGTAAAGCTGTATGAATGAATCTAACTTTGTCACGGACTTGTTATAAATTTCTCATGAACTAGTAATAACCTGGTTATAAGCTGGTTATAGCATTATACCTACAGATATTTGCTTTCTGGTGATAATCGTAACCGAATTGTGTTTAGAGTTGCGTTGGTTTGTAAATCGTACGGGAAGTTAGTAGAATTGGAAACTTAGTATTTTTATAGAATTTCGGAATATGCAAAATTTGTTGGATATTTATTTTTTAGCAGAACTGCGTTAAAATTGCTACATGCATGGAACGCGAATGGGTTAAGACTGGCCAGAAAAGTGGGCATACATACCCTTTTTAGCCCTTTAAGTTACCAGTGCAATGAACCCTTTACTCGGGTGTACAGGGTTTCGCCATTGTGCATATGTAAATATGAAAGTGGTTTTTATGTTTGGCAAAAGTATTACTACAATACATATTGTTGACAAAAAACGACATCGTTTTACTTAACAGGGTGCAAAATGAAAAATGCCAAGTTTTGACCAGTTTAGAAATTCGAGGATTTTATTTCATTAAAAAGTTCAATCATGTCCATGTGTTACGTAAATTCACAATCATTTCTCAATGCAAGCAGTGTGGTATTTTCTACTTACCCTTTGTGCCCGTTAGCCCCGCAATTCTGCTTTATCCACATAAAATCATAAGAATTTCCCTTAACCCACATACACAATAGGACACTGTATTCATTTATGCATCCAAAACGCAACCCTGGGCAATCCGTCTACAACTATATATGTATTTGCTTTGTTAGGTACCTTTCATTCTGCTCGATAGAAAAATATGCACTTAAATCCATACAAATATGAAATAGGTTCTTTCCTTAAAGGATTAAATGAGTTTAAAGGTTGTAACCCATTTAATTTGTGTGCATGTACATTGTAGGCAAATATCTGTATTATTTTATAAGTATGTTTGTATGTGTGCAGAGCAAAAAGGCAGGCAGTACCTTTTTGTCTTCCTGTTTGCCTTTTTGCCCCACAAAAATGGTTGCGTTTTTGCTAATTGGGGCTAGATGAGACGAAAACTCTGTGATAAAATTAAAGTCAAAGTTATTCATGCGATCTTTATACTTTTCCCAAATATTATCTTCAGCCCAAAATTTAATTAACTAAGCTGATGACGATGTAGAAACAACCCTGGAAATATCTAGGGAAAAGTATTCGACTAATCTGAAGTATTGATTAAAGCCAAAACCTCCCAATACAATTTGAAAATCAATAAGTATTTTCTGTAATTTCTTTAATACGTTACAAACCACATGAAATCCGGTTCTATCGTCAAAAATCGAGGAAAAAGGCATCAAAAAGGAAAAAGGGCATTGAAAAAGGCATCAAAAAGGCAAAAGTGCATTGAAAAAGGCAAAAAGGCATGAACAAATATATAGCAAGAAGGCTCCCTTTTTGCACACACTGGTGTGTACATAAATACATTATGAAAGGCTGAACTTTCCGTATTTTATTTATGTTGGCGAACCCAACCCAGCATGACACACACAATGCCTTTTTATATGTATGAGCATAAGTACCTGTCACTAAAGGTACATTTTATTCTTAGCCCGTCTGGAACCCATTGATTTAAAGGTTCATGTGTGGTTCGCCAAGAAGTAATAACGATCGGTCAATGGCTTAAGGGCCGTTCATAAATTATGTAACGTGACTGGGGTGAAAAGAGGGAATGACATTGTGCCTACGTAACACATGTTAATGGGGAAGGGGAGGGGGAGGTATAGAAAGTCGCGATTTTTTAAGCTACGTAATTAATGGACGGCCCCGTACCACGGGATCCATTAATACTCTTAAATAATACGACTTTGAAACGTCTATCCAACCCCACAAACTATTTTTACATCGACTGACAATGTGGGTCAAACATAGCCTATTTTCACACCTTATTTATGTATATCATTCATTGTAACGGCCCATCTTGCTGCTCATATATCTATTATTCGTACATGTATGTAGATATGTGACACATTATTCGGAGTGGTTTTTGTACACAAAATTCTAAACGTGGTGTATAGAAGCCATTCATGCAAAAATTACAGGTGCCAGGATGACAACAACAATTCTTAAACACGTTCTTAAACACATACATATGCCTTTGTTTCCATGTTAAGCCTATTACTCCGGACGGGTTTTTCATGCGAAGCGGCAGGTCCTTTGCTCTGTATTAAATTACAATTTTTTCGGGATTACTGAAATTTCAGTAGAAAGGATGTATATGTTCCAACTTCGGGTGTTGCTTCAAAATAATTACACAATTTTACCTACGTTTCCTTTTCTAGCTTTTGCGAAACTTTCTCACGTGAAAAATCGTGCTGAATATTAGTTTTAAGTCCACCCCAAAAATATGACATGTGTTAATTGGTATGGCCGTATTCTTGACACCTACTTGAATTCATACGTATCAGTGTGCACATACCTTTCTTAAGATTAAAGATATGCTGAGACTTTAAATCCATTATTTGTTCCCACTAATATTTTGTAATTGGTTTTTGCACATGCAATTATTGCATTTGTTTAAATAAGAGAGAAAACACTTTGAAATTTGTGTTATAAAAAATAATGATTTCTAATTGAAATCTAATTCTAATTGAATTAATCCATTGAGAATAAAATATTACCGTATTGATTTTTGACAAAATTAATATTTTGTTAGTAGGTTTATGTACATGTTTACTGATAAAATTTCACAATTTGTATAACTAAAAGTTTGTTTGTCATTCACAATTATTTTGCGGACAACTGACCGTTTTTAAAAAAAAATGTAGATTAAACATGATATTTTTGTATTGCGCATGAGTTCGTATCATCTACCCATGTTAAGTAAACCCCTCTCTCCCCTATCCTACAATATTAACGTTTATGAATGTCTCAACTATCACTGATAAGTACATACAAAAGGTTCACAAAGGAATAACTGATGAAGCATGCAGTCTGCATGAATATAATCAATTTAATCACCTGATGATAAGAAATTATTGATTTTTACCATACATTAATGCACAAATCACTGACCTGATGAATGATTTTCTGGTTTTGCCATCAAAAACCCATGGGCCGAGATGCTTTAAGTTGTCGAACCAGTGTACAAAGACCATTAAAAAATAAGCTGATTCACGAAATCATCACTTTTGCCCGTTGGTTTCCACAATTTTTACTAACGTTCTTAACCCATTCGGACCCATTTGTGAAGGTGTCTGTCTACGGCATATTTCTGAGCATGATGGACAGACCAGGTACACAATAGCATTCATAATTTGTGTATCTAACAAAACCACCCATTAAAATAAGATAAGCTCATTTTCCACAATTTCCAGAGGTTCACGTGAACAAGGAAATCGAGAAGGAAGATAATATACCCCTGGAAGTGCCCCCTTATGAGGAAAATATTGCCTCAGTCGTCAACAATCATCTCGTAACTTGAAAAAAATGCACCTAGAAATTTTACAAGGCAATCGTAACCGATATGTAGTTTTTGACAACGTGTTCAAATTTTAAAAAATAGTCAAGCATAAATTAAAAAATTACACAAATCTCCTAATAATTGTAGATCTTATCAACCATATTGGCCTTCCTGGACGTCCCATGCCTTAAGGCTTGTCGTCTCGTAAGTAAATCCTGGTCATACGAGGCAACCCCCAAACTAAGCAGGAAAGCCGTTACACGACTTGATCTACGCAAACCACACCTTCCCGACTATCCATTTGTTTGCCAAAATATTCGCGTCGTAGTTGACGCGTCCCCGAAGGATGCAAACCTGTCCGTTTTCTTAAACCGGTTTGGACCTCAAATTGCGAAATTAACTATATACTCCGCCCTAAACTTGAGAATGTGGGTGCAGCACGCGCCAAATTTGACATCCCTCCAACTACAGAGGGTCGACTGGGGACAATTTTTTCCAAAAGATGAACCTCCATTTAGTCAAATTAAGGATTTAAGTTTTTGCACGGCAACTTCCTCACATTCCCGGCCAGCCCCTATTTCTGACCAGGTGATTCATTATTTCCCGTCTTTGCATTCCCTCTCCCTTCAGGACGATGATTGGACGAGCGGGGGAACATTTGTGGAAGAAATGTTGCAAGGTGGCGCCCTCCAGGGAGAAATTTGGTCGCCATACTTGCATAAGCTTGAAATCTCGTCACGCCGGGGTGCATGCATGAAATTAAAGTTGTTTCTGAATTTACGGAGGAAATGGAAAACCTTGAGAATGGGTGGGGTTCTTTTGGAGGGTGGCCGGGATGTAGAAAAATTTCAAAAATTTCTACACCGGAATAAGGAAACTTTACAAGAGCTTGAGTTCCAGATTCGGTGCAGCGAAAAAATTCAGACATGCCTGGTGCTCCCAAATCTACCAAAATTGAGAAGATTGGAGATTCAATTTTTTCAAGGGTCGCCAAAAATCGAAAAGTTTCTGTACTCTCAAAAATTTCCAGTGTTGGAGCACATCAGTTACGAACATGGGGAAGAAGGCTGTCGCCACTGTCTGCAAATTTTCTTGGGTGACGAAACCCAGGTTTGTAAGACGGTGAAAACATTAACCGTCAAACTGCATGGGCTCAATGTTGCGGAAGAGTTGCCAAATTTGGCAAAATTGTTCCCGATGAGTGTCGTCCTTGGTTAAATGTTTTATTATCGGAATTGTTATATAAACACATATTTGCTTCGCTTAATAAGGTTTCTGGAATAAAAAAATTATTTCTGATGAACTTATTGATATTAGAAACCTTTAAGGGTGTAGTTTGTTTATAAGGTAATCTGTAATTTAACTTCATCGACAATGGGACTCCGCTGGTGATTCAAGACTTCTGTATGAACCAAACCCTCAATCTGATACGACTCAGTCAGTTCTGGTAGAGTGGCAGGACGAAGAAATATTTAAATTGACATTGACGTTTAACTAAGGACGTTGTAGTATATAAATATGTAGTGCGACGCATGCATCCATAAATTGCATTCACTAATACTTGTTTTCGAAACTATTTTTTGCACATACCTATTTATTAATAACACATGAAAGAAAACATTTTAAAGTTTGTGTGGTAAAAAATAAAAAATAACGACTTTGATTGTGACAAACTGAAGGTAAAAAATACTTGTTTCGAATAAGCGAAATATTTACAGACCTACTCACGTCAATTTATTGGACAACTCATGTCATCCTATTGTATTAATGCTTGTCACGGTTTGCGTTTTACCTTTCTTTTTAACCACTTACATGTCCGAACCAATTCAAAAATCCGTCACTGCACGGGATA